AGGAACGACAAGGTTTTCTTCTGACGACAGCAAAATGCATGTATATGGTAAGTAGATAAAATGGGCAAACATTGTAGATACAAGGCAAGTGGAATAAATAAGGTGGCCAGCAAGTCTATAAAACTATATGTACCCCACTGTTTACACTGTACATGCCTGGATAAAATGGTACTTGGCCCTCAAGCCCTGTATTCATCATACAAATGGCAGTGTTTGTAAGATGTTGGATCATTTTAAGAGAAATCTCATCTTCATGAAAAGAACATTTTAACTAGATGTTTCCGTTTGTTGTATCCTCCAGTGATCATTCAGATTTTTTTTTCAGTTTTGGACACATTTCGGGGCATCCAATCAGGAAGCAGTGTTCTGTGGTCAGGGATATGAAGTTTGACTGAGCAGAATGAGAATTGTGTTCACATTAGTCTTTGACAGATGGTGTGTGTATGTGTGTGTGTGTATGTATGTGTGTGTTGTAGAGTCATTGGAAGCTTGAGTCCCTCATAAGGCAGAAAGTCTGTCCAGTTTACATTGTTGCAGGGCAGATTATGTGCTTTATAATGGTCACTGATTCAATAGAGAGAGCTGGTGGCAGAACAATAGAATGGCTTCTACCGGGAACATAAGAGATTCATTAGGGCTGAGCAAGCCTAGTCTAGGCTTGAGAGAGTGAGAGAGAAACAGGGAGAGCTTGGTATTTTGAATGTTTAAACTAAGTTTAATAATTGGTAAAGATTGTCGACTGTGGCATAGGCAGTATATGGTTTGGCGAGGAGAAGCTAGGAAGTATTATATCCAAGAGAAGCTGCTAAAGTGGGGATGACTCCCACCAACTAGCAGGTTAAGCAATTAGCTAACTTTAGTGTAGTTCTCATAACCAGAGAGAGAAACATAAAAACATATGATTGCTGACCTCACGTTTTATCTGCCTAGTTACAGCTGCCAACATACGACATTGGCTAAATAACCATAGTCCTACCCATTACAGCACTTTGCAGAGATGTCTAGGGCAGCAGTTCTTCAATTATTTTAGTCTAAGGCCTCCTCAGTGGATAGTAAGTGCCACTGTGCCCCTCCTTGCTCTCTACCTTGCCACCTCCCCCCACCCTGTTTATTAATTTTACTTAAATTTATGTTTAAATTTACGTTTATTAATTTCACCTAATGAATTAGCACCATGTCTTAGAAGAAACCTTGTGCATTTTTCTAGCTTTCGTCACAGCTCTTGCTGACCTGTCATGCCACTATTCTGTGACATTACAGTTAACTCGTTCAGTGGGCACTGGACGGCTGTGAATCAATCGATTGGTTGGCACGTGTATTACATTTTTAGCAATGTTTAGTAACATCTACCTTTTTTAAACAAGCACTATGGCTGAAGCAGATTTAATAAAAACAAAATGAAAAATTACTAAGATGAGATACAAGTTTTGAACGTACCCTTAGCGCCCCCTCTGGGACCATCATGATTCTCAGTTTGAGAACAGCTGGTATAAGGCGAATGGTTGAAATTAGCTGTGTTGTCATTGTCTTTTTGCAGTATTTTTTTCCCAATTTTCTCCCAATTTAGACATGCTCATTTCCATCCACTAGTTAGGACTCCCCCAATAACACGATACCACCAGCTAGGAGGGCGAAAGCTAGCACAGGCTTCCTCCAAGACCTATGAAGCCAGCCACCGCATCTCTTCAAACTGCCGCTAACACAACGTCACTGGACAGCTGAACACACTCGGAGGAAAGTGCCAACCTCCAGTTCTTTTACATCAGCTAACAGACACCTGCGTCGACTAGCATCACGTTAGGTGATGGGGGAGAGGGAGGGGCCATCCTACCCTCCCGGAGAGTGAAGTCAGTTGTGCTCTCTTGGATTTCCCGCCACAGATGGCTGTAGCATCACCAGGGATTGAACTTGTGATCTCCTGATAATAAGGATGATGGTTGCGCTACTCAGGAACCGCTTTTTGCACTATTGAACATTGTTTTCATTTCCACAGTCAGCTTTATTACTTAACAGCCTCACTAACCAGGTAGTAGCTTATGCTAGGAATCAGTATAGCTCAGCTAAGTTCCTGCAATCTGCAGAAACTGTCAAGCAGGGTGATGCTGTGTTTACATGTTAAAAGAGTTGTTCCATGCCTCCCATGAACAAATGTAGCATGCAGCCATGTAAACGTTGCCATGGTGATAGCAACTACCAAAAAAAACCTTTGGCCATCATTTAATGTTGAAAAAGAAGTATGAGGAAGTAAGAACTCTGCCCCTTTGGGTTTATCCTATATTAGGGTTGCCACCCATCCAGGATTTTCCTGGATCATCCTGGATTTTGTCTGTCCAGGGAAAAAATCAATTTCATTCCTGGACAAAATGTACCAGAATCCAAGGATTTTCACTTTAGTATTTCTTAGGAAATACTTTTATCAAACCGTTTGTGTACAAAGTCTAGGTTTGATTGGTTCAGAGTAGAGACGGTTTTAGAAAAGTGCGCTGCTGGTACCAGGCAGCTTGGTAACTGAGGAGATTAGGTTTGGTAGCAGCACTGGGTACTGACTTTATACTGCATTGTAAGCATAGCTACGCTTCTACTGAATCTGTCAAAAATCAAGCTATTGACAGAGAGTGTCCAGGAATTTTAGATAAATTGCATTTTGTGACATTTTCATTGGCATCAAAAGCACTCAGAGAACTAGGTGAGGTGCCAAGGCCACCCCATACCTCCCCATAGCTACACCCCTAGTGTGTGTGTGAGAGTGTGTGTGCGTGTGTGTGTGTGTGTTTCCTCCGCAGTGGGCTGGCAGTGCGCCACTCACTGAACTGACTGTCCTCCCCACTTAACAAATCCTGAAACACACACACAACAGCATTGTATCTCTTTGATTCTGGGGCTTTTCTCATGATCTGTGACACGTACATGGGGGGCACACATTTCCATACGCACAGTCATACCTACATTAGCCCACTTCAGCTAGAACACTCAGCTCCACTCTGAATATCCTCTCCGTGAGAGAGAGAGAGATTGTGTATGTGTTGGATATTCTACCTCGCTCGCTCACTCCCACTCATGCACACAGCTACTCGAACACCATCTATCATTCTCTTTTACTCACGCCCCCCTTCGCTCTCACATACACACATTCGTTTGCATTCCTGCCTTTGTGAGGTATTTTCATGTTCTTCTCTATGAGTGTGTGCAAATGCTGCTGTGCTCCAACTAACCCTGGGTGCCCAAACTTTTTGTCTTGGAGGACCCAAGTGTAATATTTGTGGTGGGCCCAGGGCTAAAAAAACAAACAGCTAGCCTTACGCTTGTGGTCTCTGAATCTCCTCTTGTCCACATGCCACTGCCTGTTATGCTCTGTTGTCTCATAACTGCTAGCTACATATGTGTTGCTACATCTGTAGTCACAATCGTATAATGTATTCTGTGATGTCAAGACAATTGTGTGCTGTCATGTGAAGGAGTTTTGGGGTGTAGGCAAGTTTCTGGTGGGCCAAATGAAACGTCCTTGGGGGTCAGCTTTGCCTTAGAGACCCACTTTGGGTAGTCCTGACCTCACCCAACCCCAACCTTAAATGGGCATTCCAGGCCACTTTAACCATCACTGCATCTTTCCCTACTCCTATTCAGTTCCTACAGTTGTACTGCAGTGGTCTCCAGAGTGAAATTTTCAGGCTTAAAGACTAGTAAAACCCTCTTTTGGTGATGTATATCATAAAATGTGTGGGTTTTTCTCTATTGTATTACTGCTTGGAAGCCTAATATCTCTTGCAGCAATATTTTCTGTAGCAACTGTCTTCAGATCATTAGACCACAGAGAATAAGTCACACATAGACAGAAAAGACTCATCAGATAAGTTGGGAAAACAAACTATAAGCTAAGCTTGGCAAGGTAGCTATCGGCTCTTAAGATATCTTGCATTGGCTTCTTTTCTCTGGCAGCAAGGGTAAAAAACTGAACTCTGGTGTCCATTTTGTACTCAATAAACAATTTTCTTTACAATGTTTTCTGAATTACTGCAGTAAGAATTACACTATTTTTAGCTTGGTTGTATATATTAGCCTACAGATACATGGCTAGGCTAGCAGTCAGGATCGGTTGGCACCACAGGGATTTCCACATCCACAGCAATGTGTGATGTATTTGTGCACTGCATGTTGGGTATTGTGGTGAGAGAACTTTGATGGACAAGTAAAATCATGAATTATTTTCAAACTGATGAGGGATATAATGCTGTGTTACAGAACACTAAAACACAACATAGAAACATGGAAATATAGATTACAAGCAGAATGCAGCTTTCGGATAGTTAGATAGACAGACAGACAGACAGACAGACAGACAGACAGATAGATAGATAGATAGATAGATAGATAGATAGATAGATAGATAGAAAAAACACAGCGTCATTTTCATCATGCTAGGAAACATTTGGTCCCCACAAAGAGCTCAATACAAACACCCACACCCACTAACACATGCCCTCGTTTGGTTCCCTGTCCCAGTATTAATGCAGGAAGAAACTCTTCATTCAATGTGACACGAAGGACGGTTAGCACAGCAGCACCGACCGCGCTTTTCTACACACAGACTTACGTTTCAGCCACTTTATCTGCCCATTCTACCTGTTTAAACTGTGAGCTCCGTTTGTACACACTGTAAATCAGGCGTGTAGCCTGTCGCCCTGTCGGTATTGGTTTAATGTACCTCAGGCAACTCAGTCTCAGTGTAGTCATTCGAGTTTTTTTCCCGCGAAACTCTCGCTCGAGCCGGCGTGTTCCGAACGGCGCGCTCACGAGAGCATGCGCATGCAGTGGGACACGTGCGTGCACGCGCAATCCATCTTCGACGGGACAGTAGCCCCTCTCTCTCTCTCTCTCTGTCTCTCTCTCTCTCTCTCTCTCTCTCTCTCACGCACGCTTACTTTATACATCCTGAAGTACTGCAAGCCACACTCCCATCTCTCTCTCTCTGTCTCTCTCTCTCTCTCTCTTACTCTCTATTACACGCACACACACACACACACACACTGAAAGGGATGGATTCCAGCAGCGCACGCTGACACTACACCCTTGCGCGAGGAGAGAAGAGTGACGTTATTCTAACTCCATGAGGTAAGTCTGCTTATCTTTTTTCGTATGACGTCATTTTAAGCATCGTTTTTTCCCCCCTCAGTTCGACGTCAAGGGCAATTGTGGAGGAGTGCGCGCGCGTGCGTGTGTCCCCACATGACACTGCAACTTTTCATCGTTCTGACTCGGTCATCAGCTGTGCTCCCTGTGTTAATGTGTGTGTTTGTGTGTGTGTGTGTGTGTGTTTGTTTGTTTGTTTGTTTGTTTGTTGGTGAGGATAAAGGCTCGAGCCCCCCCTGTGCTCCACTGCAGAGGTGCAGTGAGGAGGTGCTGGACCAGCTCCAGAGTTTCGCTTTCAACCTCCCCAGCCCCCCCCAGCCCCAGTTCTCATCATATTTTATCACCAGTAATATTTAATGATTTATTAATTGATGCTTTAAGTGGCGCGTGTCAACGTTAAACGCTTCACTTGGCGCCAAATGTTCGGCGCGTGCGCGTTAACCGTGCTGAAGTAAGGGCTTTTGTTTTCTGTGTGAGTTTGGGGGGCGTTTGGAGGCTGTTTATTAAGTACTGGGGGGCACTGAGTGAGTGTGAAGCAGGATGAATGTCCTCTGACCGCTGCTGACCAAGTTTCTCTGGTTTTTGTGTCTGTGTTAGGGCAGTGGGGCTGTTGGTAATGGTTGAGGTGTGTGGGGTTGTGGTTAGCTGTGTAGCTAACGGAGCTGTGCTGAGGAGGGAGAAGCTGTAGGATTATAAGTGAATGTGCTCTGGGTAGATCTGGCATATCGATATTGATGAACACTGGCATCGGCCCGATATCAGCAGATCATAAGTCTGAGTCTGATTACAAATTTAGTCTGAAATGACACACAGTCACACTGTATAATGTACAGAGCCCCTGAAGGGACGTGGTGTTTGTTTGTTTAGTTGTTTTTTTTTGTTTTTTTTGTTTTTTTTTAGTGAAAGGGATGCGGTGTATTTTTTTTTTTAGGTAAAAATCCGGTGCGCACCAGATGCTGCCAGGTGAGCAGTGAGCACCCAATACTGTCAAGTGAGCACAAGCTACTATATGGTGAGGGAAAAAAGTGTATATACATATATATATATATATATATATATATACACATATATATATATATATGTATTGAGTGTATACATACACCACAGACCACTAGTCTGTGCACCATCTGTGTTTGTTATCTTCTGTCACTCCGTCATGGAAGAAGACATTTATGGCACAAGAACAAATAAAGCGACTTAAATATGAAAAGGTAAGTTTGATAGTTCAGACAGCTATAAAAACCTTAATAATTTACCAATTTGTTTGATATGTATATAGATATATAAAATATAAATAAAAAGTATGATATACTTATGACTGGTGGTATGAATTAACCTCAGATGTTCCTCAGGCACACAAGGGGTCAGTTTATATGACCCATTTGCAAACGGGTAGCCAAGGGGTGGCCTGAGTGGCCAGGGTCTGCCTACAATGAGTGAGAAAGTGAGAAACCTAAATGAATAACTTCTGTGGCCCATGTGTCAAACACAAGGCCCTCGGGCCAACTCAGGTCCGTGACACAGTCCTATTCAGCCCACGAAATTATTTATATATATATTTGTATTATTTATATTATTATTTAATTTTCTATTCTTTTTAGTCTGTTTCACACTGAGATGGACTACAGTACCCAGCATGCACTGCAACATAGTGTGCATTCTGACCCCCTTTCCCCGAAACCATCTATGGTTACACAAAAAGAAAAGATGCCTGGCATCTAGTTTAAGCAAATAGGCAGTTTTTAAAAAATTATATTTAAATATGTATTTGATGCCTATTTTGCTGTTGCAGTCTTGGCATATTTTGAATAAACCATGGCCCATTCAGGTCGTGGCAAAAAGTTAAGTAAAAATGAGTTAAAAACAAAGCTGGCGCACAGATTTGCTGAGATTTTTTAATATGGCCCTTTTAGTGGTTGAGTTTGACACCCCTGTTCTGTGGTCTATCTATATGAAGTGTTTTTCTTAAAGTTAATATTGTGCACTTAAAGAAGTGATTTATTTAATTTGCCTGATTCAAATACATCAGTTTCTTATAAATGACTAAAATGCATTACATCAACACAGTTGTGTCTTTCGGTTTGATTTCGGTAGTGGTTGTATTGATGTAATATTTTATTCATGTGGAAATGATGGACAGATTTAGTTACATACAGAGAAAAAAAACTGCATCAATTTGTTTGTCATTTTAATACAGTAATGCCTATTTATTTATTTATTGATTGATTGATTGATTGCAGTGTGCCACCCCAATAAAATCCATAGGTCTTACCTGGCCACCCCATTCTAAAATGTCTGGCTACACCTCTGTTGCCAAGGGGTGGCCAGTGGTGGCCAGGGGCCAACCTAGCATGAAGCATGGCCATCTTTCTGTCCACCATAGCTATGGAAAGTGAGACAGTCATCTGTCTTCAGTAAAGTAAATAGGCTAATTTGCAGGCAGGTGCATGTGCTCTGGGATCATTCAGCAGTGCTGCACAGTGATATGATGAATTAACTATCAAAAATAAATCAGCTCCAATTGTTTATCGTGTTAACTAATCACTTTTTTGCAGTTGAATACATGCATATGTTGTAGGTCACCTTATACAGTTTTGTCTGGTTGGCTTTCTAATCACTAAGGCCATCATACATGTGTAAAATTAAAGCCATATTGAGACCTCAGAAAGCCACAGTAGATCACATGTGGCTTGAAATTTATACCGAGGACGGCGGTCAGTCTTTTCGATAAACAGACAGGTGAAGAGAATAGACTCTGTTTGGGATCGACTCCTAGCCCTACAGACATTTAAACATGATAGTCTACTTTTAGATGCTTGTCTGAAGTGCTTCAGTTAAAAAAAGCTCATTTTAAAGCTTAATATTTTTAAAGAAAAAAATCGGCACAGTATCAGACGATATTCAGTCACTCACTGTTAATATACAGAATATTATGATGGCGGTAACAGAAAAGAAGCTGTGGTATTGTGCCACCTTTCTCTCTGACCCTCCAGTGCTAGCTTTGTGTTTGTGTTTATGTGGTGCAGGTGTGCAGTCATGGTTCTGAGGGGGCTGTTCTTGTTGCTGCTGCTGGTTCAGTTTTCCGCTGAGGGCACTGCCAAAGAAGGAGGCAAACCCAAGAAAGGCAAGAAGGGCAAACAAGTCATCTGTCCCTCGTGAGTCTCTCTCTCTCTCACACATATAGACACACAAGTTTCCTGATGTTATGATGTGTTTCCATGTTCTTATGAGAGTTTGGTATTAGTGCAAGTGCTGCTGTGCTACACCTAATCTTAACCTCTGAAACCTGCAGGATGTCTTTGGACTCTTAAACTTTCACTAATAAATACTTCGGTTTTTGATCATTGCATGATTTTCGTCACCCTGGTGGACATTTAGTTTTCATAGCAAAGGAAAGAAAATTGATGCATAAGTGTCCTTATGGGGTATTTCTAGTGAGGTAACTACCAGTAATGCAGGCACTGGAGTCTCTATAACATCAATATAATATCTTTGTTGGCCCTCTTATATAACTGCTTATGCAATTTTACATCCATAACTTGTGGAGAACTATGATCATTCAATAATATCAATTGTTTGAGTTTCCCTGCTCAAATTACATTTTGTTGTTTTTTCTGTGAAAAAAGTCAAATTATATGAACACATCCTCAACAGGTTATAGTTACTGTTCATTTGCTGAATTTGAGAAAAAAAAATAGAAAATGTGGTCTTTGCAGACTTATTTTTAGTTAGAAAATCAACGAAACATCATTTGACTGGGGTTTTCAAACTTTTGCATACGAAAATACCTCCAACTTGATTAAGACACGGTAATAAACAATCTACACTGTCGTTTTGTCTTTATTAGTAATTTCTGGGGATGCACTGATATGGAAATTGTGGGCTCATGCCGATATCAGTATTTTTCATGTGTACATCTGACAACGTAGACAAAATATTTGTTTAAAATATCTGTTAAATCTAAACTGCCCACAATTTCATATTTTCAGTTATCTAATGACTGGTAATAACATTATGATTCTGATATATAGTGCATTTCCTAGTAATTTGCATCTTTCAAGCTTTTTTTTTTAGTTATTTTCATACTAGGGAGCACTACTGTACGTTTTTACTCTGTGGTCTATAACATCCTAGTCACCCTGCTTGGTATTTCGATGTCCTTCTATACTGATGTCACCACACCCTGCTGTGCTACACCTAATGCTGGCCTTACACCAAACGACTTTTCAAGCGATTTCACTGTCGCAGACAAACAACCAACGCTGGAATAAAATCATGAGAGTCGTTAGAGTCGCGTCGCGCTCGCGTCATCTCGATCGGTTAGTGTAAGGTGGTCAAGATGGCGGTCTTAAGTCAGTCTTTTTCTCGTCTTGACCCTGCGACAAAATCAACCGTGTTTAATATTATCGTAAGTTTTAAGTCTTGGCTCATGCAAATAGTGATGCAAAGCATGAGTGCTTGCGGGCGAGCGCTTGCGTGCGGCACAGTAGAAGGAGAGAGAGAGAGATAGTGAAAATGTACGTGTGCCTCCCTGAAATCTCTGTAAAAAGGCAAATGTACTCCACGTTAATACAAAAATCATATTTATTCAAAATGTAAACTGACTGCTTTAATATTTCAGGTTCACTAAGCGTAACAGTGATGTAAGGAAATGTGCAGAGGACTTTAAGAACGGCATTATTAACTGCTCTGAGCCGTGCTGAGCCAACGTATCTTCCCCAAGTGTCTTGTAAATTTCCACCAGGTGCATGATGGGGAATAATTTCAAAAATCTAGTTGCAGTCTTGTAAATAGTGACACTGCAAGATTTCTTGTCTTTGCAAAATCATAGTCTGAGACTAAAAACTGTGACACTGTCTTTAGGTGTGAGAGGGTGTCAGACTTTAGTCTTTCAAAAGTCTTTACAAAGTCTTCTGAAAGTGTTCTAGTGTATGGTTAGCATAACCCAACTGTAACCTTAACCTCAGGAAACAAAAGCAAATCTAGCTTTTCGAGTCATCTGACACATTCTGCCCTTATGGCGACATCTTGCTGCAGGGACCAATATAATATTGCTGTTGCTGTTTTGACAGGAAATCTTATCGTGTTTTCCTGTCAGCCTGGGAATTATTAAACAGAATACGCACACATGAACACAAGGGTTCATCCAGAACTGGGCTAGCGTGTCAGTCACAGAGTCACAGTGCTGACATAGTCAGCATATTCCTCATTCTAACTGGACGGCCCCTAAAGAAACAAGTGTGACTTATCCGAGATCAGCACCTTGAGGGAGAGCAAGTATGAGTGAGCGGTTTTCCATGTTGACCTGGGTGGGAGGGTTCTTGGCTGGGCTCAGCCCAGTTCACTGTAGGATTGTGTTGAGGTAACAAACCCCAGATTGGGTTTGTTTTCTACTGAGTCATTTTTATATGGCACTCTCTTAAAAATATGGTTCCTCAAGGGTTCTTCAGTAAAGGGAATGGTTCTATTTGGAGCCATAAGTTCATGCTTCATGCTTAAGTGGTTCTTTGCATGGTGAAATGGTTCTTCAGATTGATGGAGAATGTGTTGTATATGCTTCTGAATAGCACCAAAAAGGGTTCTTCTACTGTTCTGAGCTTGACATCATAACAGTAGAAGAACCCTTTTGGTGCTATATAGAACCATCTTTAAAAATGTTCTATATAGAACTATATACAGCATATTCTCCATCAATCTGAAGAACCATTTAAGCATTAAATCGTTCTAAATAGAACTATTCCCTTTACTAAAGAGCCCTCGAAGAGCCATATTTTTAAGTGTATATTTACCTTTTTTTTTTGCAGACATTTCATGCATTCATGCATCTCTTGCTGTGTGTCTCGTGTGTGTGCTCTTCTATTGCTCTCTCTCTCTCTCTTTCTGTCTTTAGTAACGTTATAGTCTATAGCTGTAGTGTTGGAATAGCTCTGGAGTTTGAGGAGTGGTTGTAAATGTTATTTTAGCCTGTAAGGTTAGGGTTTGGCTATAGCTCTAGAAGCCCAGGCCCAGCAATACACCTGCTGGGTAATAAAATTGAAATTCAATATTGCTGTATTTTACAACTATATCTGAGAATGATATTAATCTTTTGATCAAGTAAATGAACCCATGCTTCCTCTATTCTAGAAGAACTTGACCACTTTTTTTTTTCTTGTATTAGACTGTTTTGTTTTGTACCTTAGACTGTATTGTAAACAACAGGACAGAAATAAAATAATATATATATATATATATATATATATATATATATATATATATATATATTTAATAATGAAGTCATATATATATATATTTAATAATGAAGTCATATATATATATATATATATATATATATATAGCTTTTGCCTTTGCCATTTAAGTTTTAAATGTCCTCACAAAAACAATCACATCTGTCTTGTAATTTTTGTCTTCTTTTGTTGAGTTTTCTTAAAGTGTGTAGTCCATGTCCTTTTATCGGTCCTGATATGTTGCCTGATTTCAGAATATTCTGTAGCAGCGTGAGGTAGTACCATTTACTGAGATAGTAATAAGCTAAATATGTACACAATAATCATTCATAGCGTACTTTTTATTGGGAGGTGGACAAACCCTAACCCCTAAATTTGAACTCAGTCAGAGCCTTATTTTAGCCACACCCCTGCATTTTAGAGCAGGAAGCGAGACTGCATGTTGAGTTAGATCCCATTGTTTCTGAAATTGTGAAAATCATTGTAAGAATTGTCACTACAGAAACACTTATTGTCTGCAAATAAGCAAACTTTTTTGTGTTTTAATCAAAAATATTATGATTTTATTCATGTACAGGTGTTTAAAGCTGTGTTTGCTAGTCATGTAGTGGCTGGTGTTTTTGAGATCTTCTCAAAATTAGCTTAAATTGTCACTGCAGAAACAGCCACTAGTGTCATGATTGTTAATGACAAAATGTTCAATCATTTATTTAATTAAAAATAAGCATAATAAGGTATAAGGTCGTATGTTTTGAAAGTCAGTATGACAAATTTCCCTATGATGTACTATAAAGTGTATTAAATAAATTCTGCATTGCGCTGCCTTGTGCGCTACAGAACTTTTAGGCCATAAAATAAATTCCAAAGCTGTGTGTCATGAACTGGCTAGCAATTTTGAATTATGTCAAATTTGTAATTAGTCAAAATAGTCGCCACCAAAACAGTCACTAAATGGAATGTTCAGTCATTTTTTTAATAGAATAAACATAATTAGGTAGAGGGTCATTCAGTGCAAAACAGTTTTAGTCTGAATTGTGCTTTGAACTGTAACTTTGAACCAGTTCAGTAGAATGATCCATATACAGCTGCTGGAATGTGAGGAACTTCTCAAGTAGCCTATTTCATTTTCTTTAAAATATCTGCAGACAGCTGTACGTCAGAGTGTATGTATTTAAGGTGTTCGCAATGCTCTTTAGTCATGGAAAGAAGGATCCTTCAGTGTGAGACAACAGAGTTAATTAGCGAGAAACAAAAAGCATTTAACAATGTGAACATTGTAAAACCCAGTGATACAAAAAGAATGAAACGATGTTCTCTATTGCTGAACGGCAGAGGGATGTTATAGAGCCTCCAGGTCTGACAGAGGTCCAGTGTGTGGAGCACTGAGCAGGTTTAATTAGCACTTTTTCAGTGCTGGGTTTATCAGGGCTTTCCAGGTTTCAGGCTTGTTAAATCGCTGTACTGTAAAAAAAATGATTTAGCCTTTTGGTGTCATCATAACTTATCCTCTTTAGTCAGGACCACTTAGATTCCCCAGTGCTGCTCAGATCACATTATAATCTAGGGTTCTGTTGCTGTCACTTATTGGAATTTTAATAAGGTCAAGATTTTAAGGCAGCTTGGTTACTGACTAAAGCTAAAGCTAAAGCTTTAGATCATTGTACAGTTTACTTGTGTATCTGTCTGTGTGCTTTTGTTGATACAGTCAGTTGTCGGCTGAAGACCTCGATCGAGTTCCTGCCAACTCCACCAGTAACATCCTCAACCGTCTGCTGGTGACTTATGACTCCCGTATCCGCCCCAACTTCAAAGGTACTGACCATTTATCAATGCAGACACTGCTTAATTCATTTAAACTAGGCCAAGCTACCAGTCCTTAGTCGCAGATATATCTGCAATAACAAAGGCATATTTTTATTTGATATCACTAATTTCTCACTTTGAAACGTGAAACATGTGGAGGTGTTCTGTTGAAACTGTGGATGGTTTTATAGATAGAAAAAAAACATCCTTTACATTTTTGCCACATTTTTGTTATTTCAACTCAAATTCAACTTATATCATCGTGTACACTTGTAAAGATACAATATATGAGTCAGCATTTCTTTTTTGAATTACAGATAACAGAAGTGACGGTTTTCTGCAGGACACAACACACATTATTCATTCACATTGAATAAAAATGATGTATTGAATTTGTTGAATTCAGATGTGAACATATTTTTCACATGAATAAAATATTTTGCATTGGCACAACTTTTTTCTTGATCTAATATAAGTGCTTCCCACAGGTCTGAAACAAACCCAAGGGAGCACCATGGGGGGTGGTGGAAGGTTATTTCAATATGTGGATATTGGAACTCATTTGTTTACTTAATCAAGTATTCGAATAAGGCTGGCTTATTCAGTGAACAGTAGTCTATGTAGCTAGGTTCATTTTCTCTTCTCTTGATGCTTCCTAATTTTCAGAATACTTTGGGAGGCAAACAATAATAATTATTACAGAAGGAGAGGCTGAGACACAGACCACAATGAATTTGTTCTGCTCCTACACTATTAGAAATAAAGGTGCTGTGCAGGTCCATTTTTCATATATTAATGTCCAAACAATGTAAATGTCCCTCAATTGTACAACTTTGGTTTTAAGGTCCAATTGTGAACCTTAAATAAGTTTTTCCAGGTGGAAAGTACATATTTGTACCATTTCATGACCTAATATTTTAAAACAGAACAATGTAATAAAAAACCCTGGGGACGAGACGGGGTGTGTGGAGTCAGTACAATTTATTATGGTACAATTATGTTCCCTGACTAAAGGTACTGAGATTTACCTTTGAGGGTTTAACCCCAGTGACAAGAGGGGCACTGCCCCAGTGACAGTTTCATGCATTTATTTCTGCTATAACTGTAAAGGCTACTGAAACCTTGATTTTCAAAGGGTGAACAACAGAGAAAAAAACTCAAATATATAGAAAAGCCATAAATAGATAGATAGAAGACAGGTATATAGTCTGAGGAAAAAAAGAACGGCAGTGGCAGCTGGAAAAAAGAAATGAAGATGATAAAAATGCTCTAAGTGTGTAAATTACAACTCGCGGATGACTTTAGCAAGAACAATATGGTGTATGAAAAAACACAAGCTGCTAATTTAGCTAACTAGTGTAATAACTGAAAGTGTTTTAACTGTCAAGTCACTTGGAGATTATGTTGCACAACATGCTGCTAGTTGCGTGAAAGTTTTACAGAGTAGGCCAGCCTAAGGCATTGAATAAGCAATAGGACAACATTGGAAGTCCCAGAGTGACAGTAGCATAAATTAGCATTATTATGACAGTAAAATCATGTGAACAGAGGCTTCTTTTAAAGTGAAGGTTTAGCTTGTGAATTCTGCATCAGTTACACTGTGTGTTCAGTTTATTTATAACAATATGTAATATTTCTCTTTGGAATTTGTTCCAATGCTACAAAACAGAAACTATATATTGTGAAAACGGGACAGTATAAATGGGTGGCCATCAATATACTTGTGAAGAGGGTGGAAGTGTAGCCTGTGTGTGGGAAACACTGTAATATATTTTATTCATGTGGAGATGATGTGCTAAATACAGTGCATTCCTTATAAATCTTCAGCAATTGACTGTGAAATAATCTTCAGATCTCCAGAAAATCTAAAGTGGAACCAGGCTTCATTTTCGTATACACTCACTGAGTACTTTTATTAGGTACGCCTACCGTGTTGGTTCACCTTGTAGATGTAAAGTCAGAGGCAGTAGCTCATCTGTTGCTGCACAGTTTGTTTTGGTCATCCTCTAGACCTTCATCAGTGGTCACAGGACGCTGTTGGCTGGATATTTTTGGTTGGTGGACTATTCTCAGTCCAGCAGTGACACTGAGTTGTTTAAAACTCCGGCAGCACTGCTGTGTCTGATCCACTCATACCAGCACAACACACAAACGCTCCACCATTACATCAGTGTCACTGCAGTGCTGAGTATGATCCACCTCCCATATAATACCTGCTCTATGGTGGTCCTGTGGGGGTTCTGACCATTGAAGAATGGCGTAAAAGTGGGATAAGAAATGATGCAGAGAAACAGATGGACTACAGTCTGTAATTGTAGAACTATAAATTGCTCCTATATGGTAAGTTTAGCTGATAACATGTTCAATGAGTGTAGATACAAGGAGGGTGTACCTAATAAAGTGACCACTGAGTGTGTATCTGAGTAAGTCAGAAAGTATGGATAAAAGCAAGCTTATTAGAATGTTAATTTGGCTTTAGGACAGAGCCAGGCTCGTGTCATGCAGAATAATTGGAAATTCTCCAGCTTCATGCTTGGGCTACATGTCCCTGTGGAATTAGAACATGTCATGCAGAACCATTGAAGATCTATGAGCCTCGCTTTCACTTCTATAATCAGCCTTGCATGGGAGTGTGGAATAGACCTTATATATTCTTTATGTACTCTTTATGTTTCAGTACCGGTTTGAGGTCTAATGTTCCCGCTATGTTGTGCTTCCTTTAATGATTTCCTAAGGCTGGCACCAGTCAGACACACTTGCATGCACAATTACACCTGACCCAAGAAAGCAAAGTTAACCATATGCGCACAGAGCTGGTGTTGTGCTTTTAGAGAAATTCCACTAGAAGGCAATTATTCATGCACTGTGTCTGTGTGTGTGGATGTGTGTGTGTGTGTGTGTGCAGGCATTCCAGTGGAGGACAAGGTGAACATTTTCATCAACAGCTTTGGGTCAATTCAGGAGACCACCATGGTAATCAGTGCCCTCCAGAACAAATGTGTTATGGCTTTTTTATTAATATATTATTTTGAATATAAAAATATATTGTATTTTCTATGTTTAAATATTTTGGCCTATTTTGATTTGATTTTACAATAGTGTGATTGAACACAGCGCACACAATTATCTTAATATTTAGAGATTTATGCTTATATATAAGAATATTTCCATTCTTTTTATGAGTATTGAATAACAGATGCCTCTCTCTGTCTTTCTCTCTCTCTCTGTCTGTGTCCCTTTTATTCTGCGTGTGTGTGATTTCCCCAGGACTACCGTGTAAACATATTCCTGCGGCAGCGATGGAACGACCCGCGACTGCGCTTGCCGACGGACTTCAAATCGGACTCACTGACCGTGGACCCCAAAATGTTCCAGTGCCTCTGGAAGCCCGACCTTTTTTTTGCCAATGAAAAGAATGCCAACTTCCACGACGTCACCCAGGAGAACATCCTGCTCTTCATCTTTCGGAACGGCGACGTCCTCATTAGCATGAGGTGAGCTTAGGTCAAAGCTCACATGCAGGGAGGGGATTGTGAAGTGGTGAACATGGATGATGTTGCTACATTTCCACAGAATGTTTTTGAGAATAATTAATACAACTAGAGTCAGAAGACAAATAAGCACAAACCATTTTGACAGCTGAATTAACATAGTAGCATGTAAAGCTCTACCAAAATGCTGGATGTTACAGTGATTTTAAGCTTTCTTAATGAAATGACCAAATGTAATGAAAAATCAAATGTACATAATTTTTTCACCATGTCTGGTGTCTAATTTTTATTTCCTTAGTTTTGTACTGGAGCTATGAGGCTAACACTACTAACAAGCACTAGAAGTCAATAGTCACCCCAATCTTTTCTGTAAATACATCCCCAACAGCCCGCTCAAACTGTATCCAGGTCTTCCTTAAGGCCGTGCAGACTTTTTGATGTGGTTTAAGACAGAGTATGTCTTACTGTGAACTTTAAAATTGAACATCAGTATGTAGCTGATTGCTGTGGTCATACATTTTAGACAGCATGCAAATTCCAGTTTCCACATAATCCAACTCACGTTCATGTGCGTCATGTGGATATATGGATGCAAATTACGTTCCCAATTTCAGTTTCATTTACAAAAACAAATCAAAATTCAAGATTAACAGTTATGTATACCAATGAACAACAGTAGTGTAGCATCCAAATATGTGACACCTGTTATTTAGATTGGTCTACACTGTCACATTTTGCTCATTTTTTTAGTTCACAGTAAGTCATACTTGCCTGTGCCACCTTAATAAAGAACTCAATGCTGGTTGAACGAGTTGAGAGAAGTTTTGGGGGTGTATTTACAGAAAAGATTTGGGTGACTATTGACTTTGTTTGTTAGCAACAGTAGCCTTGTAGCTCCGGTTTAGAAATAAAGATGTAAAATTTGGACTCCAAACATTTTTAGACTGACGAATTAAATCTGAGGTATGTATTAAATTGTGTATGTTTGATTTTTCTGAGCAAAATCTCTGTAACGCACAACCTTGGGTGGCTTATTGCTTTTATAGAAGGTAATAAAATACACCAATGTTCAGTAAATCAATGTATGTATGTATTATTAATAATAAAATCTCAATAATAATTGCAGGCATTGTAGTTCATAACAGTAGGCTACGGTTACAAAGCAACATTATGATCAAAGAATATTCCAAGAAACAACACAAGAATGGCAACTTAATACAAAGTGATATTAATATGTGTGTCTTACATGTGTGCACTGAGTATTTAACAACAGCTTCTAGCATTGTCAGCCAATCAGATTAGAGACAGAACTATTCTGTACTACCCTGTCATGGCGTCTTGGTTCAACTATCATGTTTATGCACCTGTTTGAATTGTTAATGTGCTAATTATTAAAATATAGGTTACACTACCTAAACCATTATTGGGCATTAATCTGCTATAAAGCCGCAGGGCTTCCAGTGTAGTCCTCTAAATTAGTTCTTGGTGAACGGTAGAGCGAGTGTCAGTATTAATGCTCTTTCTCTCTGCTCCACTCTGATGATGGCTATGCTTGGTTGGTCTCGGGGAGGTGGGCCTTGTCCGCTTCTCCTGTGTGACTGGGTGGTTTGTAAGTGGCTGTATTGAGTAGGTTTTAAGCTCTGCAGTATTGTGCAGTCTGAAAGGGCTTTATGGCAGATGAAAGAATGTTCTGGATTTTTGCTCGCCATGTGTGTGTGGGAGCCTTAGGCCAATCCCCCCTCTTCCCCACACACACACTGAATCTTTTCCTCATCTGCTACTGCAGCTCCACATGCAACCAGGCCTAATGAAGCTTGCAGCGTGAGAATGTGTGTGTGTGTCTGTGCTCTGATAAAATACTCTGTCTTTTGCTCAGATATTCTGTCTGTTCTAGGGATGCAAATTTTGACAGATTCTTAAGAGCCGGTCCAGTCCGCATTTCACAGGCTTCAAATAAGACGTTTCCGACCAAGTGCTTCAACAACCATTCTCAATACTACATGTAAAAACAGTATTTACATTTCATAATTAACCATAAATTAAAAATATATTCTAGTTCATGATCTGTACAAAATAGTCACATATTTATGGACCATTCTACCAAATTAGTTCAAACAGTGGTCCCACAATAAAAAAAATCAAAAGTTAATTAAGTGTTAAGAGCTTAAATATTTACAAGGATTATTTTATGATCTGTTTAAACTCAAGGCAATAATAGAGATTTTTTAATGTTCTTTAAAAGATCTTTTAAAATTTCTTTTGAGGCAAAGTTGTAAGATTTGGATTTTTCATGAGAAAAACTTTTTAAAAAATGCTGTACCATGTTTTCATGTCACTACAGAAGCACAAAGAGTTTCAGTTCATAGGTGGAGCCTTATTTTAGCCACAACCCCTGCATCTTAGAGCAAGAAGTGAGACTGCATCCCTGTCCCTCATGGCCACATCGTGTGCCATTATATCCCATTGTTTTGAACTAAATGTGTCCCAAAGTCTGAAAATCAGTGTGTATAAGGAAATAACATATTTTCTGCAATTAAGCAAACGTTTTTATGTTTAATGAAAAATAATATAATTCTTTTTGTGTACAGCTGTTCAAAGCTGTGTTTGCTAGTCATGTCACTGGCTAGTGCTTTTGAGTTCAGCTCAAAATTAGCTAAAAGTGTCACTACTCGAAACAGTCACTGCAGAAAAAAGGTTTTGGTAGTGTTATGATTGTTTTGTAAAATGCAGTGTTCAGTTATTTATTTTAAATATTTATGCAAGTAAACAAATTTTTGACTTGGTGAGGTACTCTGGTGTTTTATACTGGATTTGTATAGATGTACAGCCGTTCATATATTATAGGAGTGACCTAAAGTGTTAAGCTAGCCTGCTGTCTTTCAGCAGTGGTTAAACGAGTAAATGAGGATGCGCTCAGCTATTATCTTGGAGAACATGTAGGTGTTCTTGTACTTGTTCCCTTGCAGTATGATGCATTGCCGTAGTTGTGCTGTCATCCTTTTGTTAGGTGATCCCGAATGTCACTATATTTAGCTGCACGCTTCACGTTTTGTAGGCCTTTCTAGTGGAATCAACTGCTGATTTCACCCTCATGCATGCAGTTCAAAAACATTGCTCAACTTGGATGATAAACCTGCCTTCAGATAGGAAACTGTTCTTTATTTCAGGTAATTAAATGAATGTTTTTAACTGATTGCATTGTTTATTTAACAGTTAACAATTAATTGGTTAATCATTTACATTCCCACTCTGTTTTAAGCGATGTTAATGCATGTGGGTGCATGTAGAAGACTGCACTATTTTTGCTAAACAAGGGTCTGTTTGTGTGTGTGTGTGAGTGTGATTGCAGGTTGTCAGTGACTCTATCTTGTCCCCTGGATCTCACCCTTTTTCCTATGGACACGCAACTATGCAAAATGCAACTGGAAAGCTGTAAGAATACACACAGACACACCCACACACGCACACACACACACACATACTTAGCAATAGATGTTTTTTTCTGGATATGTTGTAACATGGTCAGAAGTGTACCATCATTTTAATAAAACGTTCATAGAACAGTTAACATTATCATTATTATTATGTCAGAAATATAGTCATCAGTGTTTCAGTAGGTTACTAAAGAGTGATAGCAGTTATTAGTGTTTCGGTGTAATATATATTGGTGTGTCAGTATAATATTCATTGTGTTAGTGGAGTACTTGTTGGTGCAGCAACACAATTATAAGTACTATGTGTAAGTAATAATAGTCATTGGTATCTCAGCAACACTAATCAGTAATGTAGTAATTGATTTATCAGTATAATATTAATTAGCATTTCAAAATGATAGTCACTAGTGTATCAGTATTATGTTCATTTGCACGTCAGTAATAGTGAGTAGTGTAGTCATTGGTGTGTCTGGTATTATGGTCATTAGCATGTCAGTAATAACGGTGAGTAGTATAGTCTTTGGTGTGTCTGTATTATGGTCATTAGCATGTCAGTAATAATAGTGTGTAGTATAGTCATTGGTGTGTCTGTATTATGGTCATTAGCATGTCAGTAATAACGGCGAGTAGTATAGTCTTTGGTGTGTCTGTATTATGGTCAGTAGTATGTCAGTAATAGTGAGTTGTATAGTCATTGGTGTTTCGGTATTATGGTCATTAGTATGTCACTAATAATAGCGTGTAGTATAGTCATTGGTTTGTCGGTATTATGGTCATTAGTATGTCAGTAATAATAGTGTGTAGTATAGTCATTGGTGTGTTCGGTATTATGGTCATTAGCATGTCACTAATAACAGCGAGTAGTGTAGTCATTGGTGTGTTGGTATTATGGTCATTAGTATGTCAGTAATAATAGTGTGTAGTATAGTCATTGGTGTGTCGGTATTATGGTCATTAGCATGTCAGTAATAATAGTGAGTTGTATAGTCATTGGTGTGCCTGTATAATGTGTGTCAGTTTTGTGTCAGAAATAGTAGTCTCTGTGTGTACTCACTAGAATCAGTCGCAATTCTGTTATTCTCCAATAATGGTCATTAGTGCGTCAGGGGAACAGTGTAATGTCAGTAGAGTAGTCGTTGGTGTGTCAGTTATAATGGCCTATCTTTGTAGTGGTGTGTCATTAGAATAGCTATTGATTTGTCCATAGTGTAATTGCCAATAGTGAGTAAAATAGTAGCAATGGGCATTGGTGTGTTAGTAATATATGTCAGTAATAATAGTCACTGGTGTGTCAGTATTACTGCCATTGCAATGCCAGTATTAATGATCACTGTTGGGTCAGTTATATAGTCAGTGGACAGTTGGGTCAGTTGTATAGTCAGTTGACAGTCAGCAGTCATGTATAATCATGGTGAGTGAAAGGAGAAAAAGAGGTAAGAGGTATTTTTGTGTGTGTGTGTATGTGGTTTGTGAGATAACATATATTGAGTGTTTGTGTGTGCTTGCAGTTGGCTACACCACAAAGGACCTGGTGTTCATGTGGCAGTCTGGGGACCCAGTTCAGATGGACGAAATTGCATTGCCGCAATTTGACGTCAAGCAAGAGGATATTGAGTACGGCAACTGCACCAAATTCTATCCTGGAACAGGTACAGATACACACTGAAACATGCATCAAACCATATGCGCACACATACGCACTCTCACACTCTTACTCCATTTTTTTCATTGTTTTCTGAGAACTATCAATTCAGTACAAGCATACGCACACTCACACCCTCCCACGAGCACTTCAACAGAATGCTGACCTCCCATTTCTAAGCGCTCCCAATTTGCGGCTGACTGAATCAATGCTGCTGTGAAGCGTAGCTCTTCAGAACTTTCTCACCGGCTCTGAAATAAATAGTGCTTTGAATTTAGTCCTTTTGATTACGGTATGTACATTAGCTCTGCATGAATCAAATACATTGTATTTGACACAATTATTAGCAGATATTATTTAACTGAAAGGCAAACCTGAGTCATGGTAAAGTCAAGTACATTACACTAGCCTTTTTCAGTATAACATTCAAAAACCTGCTTTCACATGAACTATTAAATCTCTGGAGTGCGAATCCAAGTTAAGTCTCAAGCCAGAATTTGGCGCACTTGGTTTCTAAAGTGGCTGAGGGATTAAAAACATTTACCAGCAGGAAGGTCCCATGTGGTGACCCTGTTTATGTGTATGTTTTACGTCAGAGTCATGATGTGAATAAATAGAGCAGATTGCTTTATGAATTCAAAACAAGCACACTGAACAACTGCATGTATTCACACATACATTGTTTTGTCAGAACCATCAGTCCAGTACAGGCATATTTGACATACTAAGTATACTATAATAGCATAAGCTAGCTTAAGTGTAGTTCTCCTATAAGAGTCTTTCCCATTACATAATGCTCCATTCACTGCTTATGTAAGAGATTCAGGCAGCATAAATCTACCTCACTGCAATCTCTCTAGCTTTCGCTCTCTGGTACACATACAACAGGGCACTATAAAATTCCTCCACCCTGTTTCTCACACAAGGTCATCGTGACTTGATACTTTATGATCTCTTTTATGCATGTACGCACCCACGCGAACATGCACACACCAGAAAATAGACAATAAACCAAAGAATTAGCACCCAGCCGTTAAACTGCTTTATGATAATGATACTCAGTCTATTCAAACACTGTGATGTAGCTGTGTCTTTCTCTTTGTCTTTAAGCTTTAGATTTAATTCAGGCTTCAGACCAAATTTCAGCTCACTCTTCAGTAAATCATACCTGTCAGTAGAGGAATCTCTACAGTAAACACAAGCAATTATGAAGTACCGAGCATAATTATATTCAAATGGAAGTACTTTAGGGAGACCAAGGCAAGAAACTGTAAACAATTCAAAGGAAACTCATTCTTCTTCATTTGTACACTCTGCAGTAAAAGTGAAAAACCTGTGTCTTTATGAGGAGAAAAGCAAATGAGGACTCCTTTCCAAGACTGTTAATATAAGGATAAATTTGTAGGCAAGTTTTGTGATTGTTGTTGCATCAAATGAGTTTTGCCATCAGTCTAGATGGGGTGAAATTTGGCAGGATCTTTACTAGGCTGCAAACTGAAACGTCAGTTTAAGGTTTCAGATAGTTAAAAGGTTTTTTTTAATGTTGTGGTCATATAACACTCACATTAAGGGAATACAGCAACGTTTTTAAACCTAATTTCTAACTGCTGCATCCATGTCACATTGTCTTTTGTCACAGACAGTGATTTTAACAGGTTTACTAGTATGCGTCAGAGAACATATTGACTCAGAACTCACTTATTAGAGCTTTAATTTAGGCTTGAGATTTTTGCCTGAACCCAACAGTACTACACTGGCAAAAATTACCACAAATTCCAAAAACTAATCCCGTCTACAGATACAGCAGAGATTACACAGTAAATAAATGTAGTGTATATACTTACACAGTAATACTTTACTGTATTTTTACTGTCTTTTTTCCTTCACCCCTGTATTTCTAAAGTACAGCTCATATGTGCTATAATGTTCATCCACAGCTGTGTCTCTATATTATGTAGAACAAAACAGGAGGAAAATACAAACACAGTAAATCTGTCTAGATAGCTCCAAATGCCCACTGTTACATAGTTTAGTGAATGATCAAACTGTTTATCAATTGCACCATGAGCTAAACATCCCATTACAGCAGTTACATGTGCTTAGCGCCCCTGTCGCAACAATATTCGGCGTTAGGCTGCAAAGTACTGTCACTTTCCAGCTAATTTCTGCAAAATTCAATATGTCAGCTTCTTTGACAAGAAACTTGACCTGCGTCTCCCTCCATTTTCACAGCAATCTGTTGCATTTAAGCAATAATTTGATCATCTGACCAATGAGCTTAGTCCCAAACATCAAGGTTCTGCTCTCTGTTATAGCTTGAACACCTGAAAGGAGTATAGAATGCTATGAACAGAACCAGACCAAGTATCTGAAGTAAAATTGGGGTTCATTTAAAGAAAAAAGGCATAGTTTCATGTTAATGTATGCAAGTATGAACTCTTCTGTTTATTCAAATATACACACACAAGTATGAATATTAAACTCTATGTAGTTCCCACTATAGTTCACTGAAAAAATAGTGTAGTATACCATTCGTATAAATACTATAATATGAACACAATTTGAAAACGTTTGAACACCTCTGGTCAACAAAACATAAAATTTGACCAAGGGCGCCCAAACTTTCACATACGACTGTATCTCATCAATACAGTTAATGCAAATACTATGTTTATTCATATGGAAATGATGTACACATTTGAATTCAGTAAATTGGATGCATCACGTTTTCAGGGTATAAAACATGTTGCCTTGTTTGTTTCTCGTACTGTCTTTCTGCCTGTCTCTCTGTAGGCTATTATACATGTGTGGAGGTGATATTCACATTGAGGAGGCAGGTGGGCTTCTATATGATGGGTGTCTATGCTCCCACTCTGCTCATTGTGGTGCTGTCATGGCTCTCTTTCTGGATCAACCCCGATGCCAGCGCAGCCCGCGTTCCATTAGGTCTGTCTGCCTGTCAATCAAAATATTGACTAATGAAAACCACTCTGCACTGTGCATTTACGCTATATTGGCAATATTATAAGACAACACTGTCATAACAAAACCTTTTCTGTCTGAAATGGAAACGTTATTGTAAAAACATTATTAACTTTGTGGTAATGTAATGAGATTTTATTCCAAGTCATTTTGTATCATTTCTATTGGTCCGTTTATCGTGAAATGCTTACAGAATGTAAAGAGCAGATTGGTGTTTATAAACTGCATAAAAAAGTTACAAGTTTTTGATGTGATATTTTGACAACAGCAATAATGAATAATAAATGATAAAATATAAATAATAAATACTGTTGATTATTGTTAAGACTGCTAGCAAGGTAATGTGTCTAGTTGTGGCAGTATCTTCATGAACAAACATTTACTTTATTAAAAATAGACATTAGGCTAAATTCTAATTAATAAAATAGTTAATAACTCCATTAACAAGGTGCTCTAATTGATAATCTAGGTAATAACTCCATTAACTCTAATATATAAATAACTCCATAAACAAGATGCTTTAATTAGTAATCTATGTGATAATCAGCTCTACTGAACAAAAATCTCTAATTGATAAACTAATAAATAAATAAATACCTCTAATTTGTAATCTAGATAATAACTCCATTAACTCTTTTTTTATTAATTAATATATACAATATTTTAATGAATAATCTAGGTAATAACTCCATTAACTCAAATAAATAAATAAATAAATAAATAACTGTAATTGATAATCTAGGTAATAGCACAAATAAAAATAACTCAGATGTCTCCATTAAATCTAATAAATAAATAACTTTAATTGATCATACAGGTAATAACTATTAATCCTAATGAATGAATAAGGTAATAGCTGCATATAGCTATAACTGTAATAAATGAATAACTTTAATAATTATGTAAGAACTCTGTTAACTAGCTAATATATCTAATAGTTATGAAATTCGTTAGCTTCATGAATAAGTGTACCTTACTAAAAATAGAAAAAATGGGTAAATTCTAATTGAAGAAAAGAGGAAACCTGAAGACTTTGACTGATAGTAATGTCAGTTGTTCAGTGCATTCTCCATCACCCCAGGCCCCGCCCTTTGTTTCTCCCCTCATCTCTCCATTTTCGTCCTCTCATAGGCTCCACTTCTCCCTTCCTCCTTCCACTCATCTGTTCATCTGTCCATTCCAAGGATGAGTGCTGCTCCGAGGTCAGTTGGTGAAATGTTGTGAAGTTTGTAGTTTTTCTCATCTCTCTCTATATAGAGTAAAATAAATAATCTCTCTCTCTCTCCCTCTCTCTCTCTCTCTCTATCTCTCTCTCTCTCTCTCTCTCTAGGTATTCTGTCAGTTTTGTCACTCTCTTCTGAGTGTACGTCTCTTGCGTCTGAACTGCCAAAGGTTTCATATGTGAAGGCCATTGATATCTGGATGATTGCCTGCCTGCTCTTCGGCTTTGCCTCTCTGGTGGAGTACGCTGTGGTTCAGGTGTGTGAGTATACGTGTGAAGGAACTGGCTGTGTGAGTGACATAAACGCTGCCTTCGTCCTTCTGCATCAGCACGCACACACACATGCACGCACACACACACACACGCACACACACACATGCACGCACGCACACACACACACACACATGCACGCACGCACACACACACGCAAACGCGTTAATCACTGTGACTCAGCGCTCTTCAGCACCACAGACTACAGTGCTGGTTCAGCACCTCGGACAGTGTCACAGTGGGCAGCGTAACATCTATTCAGCACCGTGGACAGCAACCGCAACATACCGTAGCATGCAGTTTCAGGGCCATGGAACTGGATTTACTGGTGATAGTGTTGCAATCGCTACTGTTCAAAAAGTTTTCATTCATATAAAGCTAATTTGGTTGCTGATACAGTGCTGTGCTCAACTCATAGACCACCCTTCATTTATTCATGTACAGTCTAAACAGTTATTAAGTACAAGTCATTCATATATATTCATATTTTTATTCAGATTTTCTATACAAAACATACATTTAAAAGAAAATTACACAGAAGCCTCAACAGCTAAGAATAATATCCTTTTTTCAGTATTTAGTGTGTCCACTCTTTATAGTGTCCATTCTTTTCAGTAGGCTTGCTTTTAGTAATTCAAGAAATCGGCATGGATATTTCCACACCTCCAAAGTTCAGTCTTAGAAGTTTCTGCTGCTTCTCATGATCCAAGTATCATACATTCAGTGATGTTGAGGTCTGGTGGTCATTCCATTGTTCTGAGAACACCAGCAGCTTCTTTGTTTGATTTTTAAACATTCTCCTTTTTTGTCCTTTATTTTTTGCTGTTTATCTGGGGTTGACACTTTTGGGGGGTCTGCCAGGTCTTCCAGGTGGTTGCTAGGAGTCCCTTTTTCTCTATATTTAATACTTATAGAATTTTTATATATTTAATAATGTTTCAGTATTTTATGTGTTTAAAATCCGGAACTTCACAGTTTTAAACTAATTAGTGGGACGCTGACTGAAGTGAAAAAATATTAGATGTGTCCAGAATGATGAATAGAGCTGTAGATGATTCTGATTGTATAATATCATAGTGAGCCATTTATAGAGAGCCTGTAGACAACAATCAGAGCATAGAAACAACATAAACAAGTCATACAACTATACCATTATGTTATTAAATTATTTTTTACCAAATGTTTTCCTTCTGTTCTTTCTTCCAGTTCCTTCTTTTGTTTTTAGATATGCATTATTATTTCAACAATACAAATTGTACTGTTTTTCATAGCTTTTAATGTGACACAACTGTGATGTCTTCAAATGTTCAAATATAACGTGAACCCATGCTAGATTGCTCATTACCTTGTTCGACAGTAAAACTGTAGTGAGACGTCTTTGAAATTGAAGATCACGCTTCTTCAGCACCGTGGATAGATCAGCTGCTTTTCTACAGCTTTTAAAAGCCGTGCTCAGTTTTGTTGTTTGTATATATCTGTGTGTGTTTACGTCTCTTTGACGGTCAGGGTGGTAAGACAGTGAATGTCACTGCTCTGAATCCTATTACAGGTCATGCTGAACAGTCCTAAGCGCATAGAGGCGGAGAAGGCAAAGATGGCGCAGAAAGACAAGGAGAGAGAAAAAGAAGGGAAGACTCCAGCCAAAGCCAACACGGTCAACGGCACCGGCGGAACACCTATTCACGTCAGTACGTTACAGGTGAGTAAAACTGTCAATGATGAAGTGTTACAGGTTTTGACTGAGAGTTTTGGCCTTAATTGGCCTTTTCAATACTCATATCAAAGAAGACTGTAATATCGCCATGGTTGCACATAAACTTTGTATCTCCATCTTTGCCATTTTTCTTTTTTTGCATAATTAAAAAATAACAGCTGCACTTTACGTCGTGCTAAAATTTCACGATGAACAGACCAACAAAAATGGTTCAAAATTACTTAGACAATCTACCCCCAAAATCTTGAAACGTTAAATTAAGTTAAGTTAACAAAGTTTTTTCCTTCCCTTGTAAAGTCACCATTTTCGAGTATTTGTTCCAACAGGAACGATATGTAAATGAGCCTCACCAACCACAGTGTTTGCTGTGTGCATCCTGACCAATCACAGCTCCATATGAGTGTTTCTATGCGCCTGTTTACACCTTGCATTAACATGTTTTTATGTCTGGATCGTATCTGGATAAACTTCCATTTATACTTTTCACTAAAATGCGTGCCAGTTTGACCAGATGAGATCCAGTCTTACTTTTCCTACGTTGTTTTTTCTTTTCCTCTTTACGAAGCAAGTGGACAAGCTCAGCTTGGACACGTTCATCAGCCTGGAGTGCAAGAAGGCTCTTAGTTTGGGGGGAACTTCAGCCTCAGTCTTTCTTATTGTTGTTCATTCTCTCACCTGCTAGTCAGTGCTTGTCAGACGCATTTCTGTTCACATAATTGTAGACGAGTAACACAAGTGCCTTCCATTTACACTTGTTAAATGTGATTGCACTCACAGTGCATCCTGGGGGTGTTTATACCTGGCTTGTCTTGCAGTCAAGTAAAATCCGAACGTGATCCAATCACCAAAAATGCATGTTTATGCAAGGAATAAAGAGGCCCAAGATATTTACGTATATGAGAATGTGTTCAAGAAGTAATTTTGGTCAAAGTAATGCAGTCTTCCAACCTTATATTGCAAGGCATAACATAACTGCAGGTAATGCAATATGTATGTACTGTAATTGCAATATGGTCTATGGTATATGCTACATATTATGTAGCCCTTGTCAATATTTCTCAGCATAAAGGAACCAACCATTAAAATTAGGCAGTTTATGGCGAGCAGAGGTGTGTTGTTAAGTAGAGTCTAAACCTATTATCAGACAAATGTTTTGGTACTACAATCAAGGAATGATTCAATTAGAAGTTTAAAAAAATAAAAACTCCTTCAGTACTGAGTCAATTACAGAGCTGCAATAAGACTTTTTGGTGCAAACCTGTTTCCAGAAAAGTTGGGATGCTGTGCAAAACATAAATAAAAACAGAAAGCAATGATGTGCAAATCATTTAAACCCTATATTTAATTGGAAATAGTACAAAGACAACATATTCATTTCGAAACTGTAAAATTTGTATTGTTTTTTGAAAAATATATGCCCATTTTGAATTTGATGCCAGCAACACAGTTCAAAAAAGTTGGGACGGGGGCAACAAAAGACTGGTAAAGTAATACTGAAATGCTAAAAACACATGGTGGAACATCTCACAACTAATTAATGAATTAATTTGCTAATAAAATATGAAAAATAATTAAATATATGATTTACACATCATTGTATTCTGAATTTATTTATTTATTTTGCACAGTATCCCTACTTTTTTGGAAACGTGATTGGACATCCAGCATCTATTCACCTATCTTTCTCTCTATTTTTCTCTTTTTACAATGCTTTTGGGGTAAAATAAAATAATAAATCTACAAAGTGTGACATATGATCAAAGAAGTCTGTGTGCTAAACCAACAGAACAGAGAGATATAAAGATAGAGAACTGAATATGAAGGACAAAAATAGATATTTCTCACAAATATACTTAGTAGTAGACGTATTATAGTGTACAAATACTCATAAATCCATCCAGGTTGTACTTCGGTACGTGTAGCTGAGTAAATACAACACATTTCTATCCACTGTCGGAACAAAATAGACACTTAAAGAGTACCATGTGTTACAATGTATTTTTTACTTTATTTAACAACAAACGTTCCTAATTAGAGATTAGTGCCAGAATTGGTAGCTTTGTATGTTTAAAGGAATGATTTGGTGAAAAAGCTAATTTATGCGGTTTCCCCTCCAGATGTAGTCAATCACCTGAGACATGTGGTGTCCCAATTTTGCTTCTTTAGTTTTACACTAGATATAGACGGCTAACATCGTTCATAAACATTAGAAGTCAATAGTCACCCAAATCTTTTCCACAAAACTTCTCTCAACCCACTCAAAGCACATGCAGGTCTTTAAAACCATACAGTCTTGTTGGTGTGATTTACACAGTATAACTTACTGTGAGCTACAAAAATGAACAAAACCTCACTGTGTATTTAATCACTGTGTTCAGCCATTTCAGACAACAGGTGTTGTGCAGCTGCCCGCCCCGTGCCTGCATGGATCTTGAATATCCTAACTGAAGATATATGTTTGAAAATAGGAACAAAAGAAATTGTGAATGTAAACTAGTTCCTAAATGCCTGCATGAAGTATGTGCACATGAAGGAGAGTTGATTCTGCAGGGGAGTAAGAACTCAACACAACACCTGTTGTCTTAAATGGTTGACCACAGAGTTTTTACAGCTCACAACATATCATACTGTGTCCTTAATCACACTGACAAGTCTGCACGACCTTAACGATGATATGGATGTGGTTTGAGCCGGTTGAGAGAGGATTTGGGGATGTATTCACTGAACAAATTTGGGTGACTATTGGCTTCAAGTGTTTGTTAGCATCGTTAGAATCGTAGCTCCAGTTTAAAACTGAAAAAGCAGAATCTAGACTCTGAACATGTCTCGGCTGGTTGACTACAACTGGTATAAGTGGAAAAGTGTACATTTGATTTTTCACCTAACCACCTCTTTAATTGACTTTGCCAAACAGGTAGTTACTTTCTTATGTATTTTCATATATAAACGAATATAGAAAGCATGTACAGTACGGGTGAATATAATTATTAAATAACCAGTCATGTGCGAGTGTGTGTGTGTGTGTGTGTGTGTGAGTGTGTGTGTGTGTGTGTGTGTGTGTGTGTGTGTGTGTGTGAGTGCAGAAGGGAGATGAAATGGCTGTAATTGAGTTGGCTGCTTTGAGCAGGCTCAGTGGGACACGGGTGCAGAGGAGAGCAAAGGTTTCTGGGGGATTGAGTCTAATGTGACCCGACAGTCGAGAGGCCTGAAGCAACGGAGCAGCGACACAGGGGGGACACTAGTATGTGCGTGTGTGTGTGAGTGAGTGTAAAGGTTATATTAGGGGTGAAATCAAAGAGTAATATCAGGTTAGAATGGCTGAAATATCTGTGCTCAGGATGAAGACGTCATAATGTGAGGTGGTTGTTATTTCTGTATTGTAGCGTTCGCCACTGTTAAAAGAGACACGGCTTTCGCTCAAGTCGTGGTGCTTTATTAACCAGCTGTTGTTGGTTGGCCACAGCTACGCTGTACAGAAGCAAAGTCTGCCTCACTCAGTTCTTCCTGATCTACACATAAACACAGCCCCGCCTTCACTTTAAGAGTCCTTATCAGAATAGCTCAGAACTAAATGCTGAAGAACTAATAACCTAAACTAACATATGAAAACGTTTCTTTAACACGCTACAGTATTATGCACTTTATGTCAGAATGATTCACTGATGTGGGGAGTTTTTTTACTGCTGACGTTTCTGCGTGTGTTAATTTCTTTATTCATATGAAGTTTCAAATCAAGTGGTGGAGGAGATGTACAAGGCAGGTGTTTCTAACAAAGTGGCCAGTTTGTGGAAGTACAGAGCAGGTGTTTCTAATAAAGTGGCCAGTGAGTGACAGTACAGTGTAGGTGTTTCTAATAAAGTGGCCACTGAGTGAAAGTATAGGGTATGTGTTTCCAATAAAGTGGCCAGTGAATGGAAGTATAGAGTAGGTGTTTCTAATAAAGTGGCCAGTGAATGGAAGTACAGAGTAGGTGTTTCTAATAAAGTGGCCAGTGAATGGAAGTACAGAGTAGGTGTTTCTAATAAAGTGGCCAGTGAGTGGAAATATGGAGTAGGTGTTTCTAATAAAGTGGCACTTGATTGAAAGCACAAGGTAGGTGCTTTTTATAAAGTGAATTGTGAGTGTACACAATTGTGAGTTTTTGCGTTTTGTGTCTCCAGGTTGTTGAAACTCGCTGCAAGAAAGTGTGTACCTCCAAATCAGATCTGCGCTCCAACGACTTCAGCATAGTGGGTTCCCTCCCGCGGGACTTTGAGCTATCCAACTTTGACTGCTACGGCAAACCCATCGAGGTGGCCAATGCTCTGGGCAAGTCGCAGAACAAAAACAACAAGAAGCCACCGCCTGCCAAACCAGTGATTCCATCTGCCGCCAAGAGAATTGACCTTTACGCCCGTGCTCTCTTCCCTTTCTCCTTCCTCTTCTTCAACGTCATCTACTGGTCTGTTTACCTGTGAGCATCTCAGACAGTGTTAGGGGTGTAGATTTCTGACCTCAGTGCGATTATTTGATTGATTATGGCTCTTTAGGAAACTACACAATACATCATAAAATCCTACATTTCACCACGATTGGATTATGTTTGGAATGATTCAGAAAGTGTTTTATATTATACACAGGATACACTGATGTGACTGTTTACACAGTGGTGAGTATATATCCTGCGCAGAATTCAGAGACCACCTTTTCATATATTTAATTTCCAGTCAAAACAGCCACAGTCATGTTGTTCATATTTGTCAGAAAAAAGCAGCAAACATATACTTAACAGAAGATTACACAGAAGCCTCTGGTATAAGTATTATATCAAACCTATCTGCATTTAATTTGTCCACTTTTTACTTTTGTTTCGATTTACTGCCATTTTAATTCTTCCATCCAATCCAGTCTTAAAACCAAACAGTTCCAGCTGTGTCCTTCCAATAAAAGGAGTTACTGACATTTTTTAAAGGGACACTAATACACTATGAGTCTGAAAGGGGTGTGACTGTCAAGAAACCATTACTGAGAAAAGGAAATAGAACAAAAAGAAAATTGCACTAGAACTCTAAAGCTGGAGATGTGGACTACGTTTTTATGGTCTGAGTTTAAAGTTGTACTTGATGTGGATTGTGAGAAGCAGAAAATATAACCAACTACTAAGACTGAACTTTGGAGGTTTGTAAAAATGTCTGCAGATTTCTTTGAAAAACTGAAAGCAAGTCACCTGAAAACAATGGAAGCTGCATTAAAGGCAAAGTGTGAACACATTAAATGCTGAAAAAAAATTATACGTAGTTGTTGGGGCTTCTGTGTTAAATTTATGTTTTTTGCTTTTTTTCCTAAAAGTGAAATTTATTTTTTTGAAAATTTGATTTTCGATTCTAACATTCCAAAATCAGTGCAGTTGAATTGCGACATTCAGATTCATGCGTCGATGCATTGATGCGTCTTACACCCCTAAAATGTGTGATCGTGAACATGCATGACTACAGGGAAGACGTTCCGAGCATGTATGAAGCATAAAAGACTCCCACAAATTTTTCCCATGTTGGATATATTGTCCAGATAAGGAAGCAGAACAGAAAAGACTCTCCTCGTTTCTCCACGTTTTGGTCGTGGTGTTCGCCATGTTGTGTTGTTCCCATGTAGTTGCTTGAGCTTCCCGGCTTTAAAGAGAGTGACGTCATTATGTCCCTGTCAAAATGAGAACGGCTCCTTTGTTTGATAATGAAATTGCGTTTTCGACAGCATGACTTTGCAGAAAATTTGCGAGCAGCCATGTTAAGTCTAGAGTGACTGTGTAGCCAGCGTGTCTGCATCAAGTCCATTCCACATCTGTGTGTGTGTGTTTGCACCAGAGAAAGCAGGAGAGCCCCCTTTAAGTGTGTGTTAACCTATATCCATTTTCTGCCCATCTGAATGATGGTACCGCACGTACTAAATTGCCGACTGAGCGTTTCTAGGGTTTATTAACTCGGGCTCTTGTCTCTGCTGAGCTGGTAAAGCCGAGGAGCGATGAATCAGATAGTGGTGTTCTCAAAAAGCCGATGCAGAAAAGGAGCGTGTTTTGTGCGTGTAAATAGCAAACTGGAGCTGCTGTGCAATAAAGACCTTCATTCATCCCCCATGAGCCTCTGTGCACTTCTTTCAGTGTTTATCTCTCCTACTGTCAGCGCACAAACTGGATTTAAAGTCCCTATCAGGTTGTTACAGGACCTGGCTTACATTACATTGACACATAGATCACATAGATTAGACACAGCTGAACCAATGTGATTTCTAGAGGTGGCAGTGATCCGATACCCAGCATCAGCATCAGGCTGATACCAGCAGAAAATGCTCCATGTAGAAAAAACTGATTTGGTTTGACAACAAATCTAGCCTAAAATATCATAGAATGAGGAAAGAACAGCTCTGAGATAATGCTAACGACCTTATGGGATTCTAGTAGCATGTTAACACTATGATAATCGTGATTTTAGGCTTGAAAAAGACATTAACCATTGCGTGGTGATCTGATCTGTTGGACCCATTTTCCATGTTTACCAAAATTAAAAATTATGCGATTTATTATTATTTCAATCTCAGATTCCTTGGCCTTTGTTCATTTTCTGTGAAGAACCTATAAAATAACACACGTGGTGTTGGGGTGAACCCGCAGGTAGTAAAAGTGTGAAGGTGCTGTGACCCTTCACTCTGTCCTCCTCCTACATGGCCTGCTGTTAGTGTGTGTGTTTGTGTGTATGTGTTTGTATATTGAGTGTGTGTGTGTGTGTGTGTGTGTGTGTGCGTGTGTGTGTGAGGGCGGACAACATGGACAGGCTGCTGACTGGCTACAGCTGCTAAAGGAGAACCCTACGCTGACCACTTGTGATATTTTAAGCATCTGGAATCTGGAATTTTTACATAATTTGTTATGGCTGTATTGATTTAAAAACAATAATGCAGTGGGTCCACCAGACCACTGAGTAACAACAACATCAACACCACACAAGTGTTAACACAGATTGTAAGGTCTAGAGTCATGTGTCAAACACAAGGCCTGTGGGCCAAGTTAGGCCTGTGGCACAATCCTATTCGGCCCGCAAAATGATTTGAATTTTCTATTAATATTAGCCCCTTTCACCATGAGCTGCACTACAGTTCCCAGCATGCACTGCACCGTAATGTATGCTACCACCCTTACCCTGACAACGATCTATGGGACTGCACCACCAAAACAAACAAAAAAAAAAGATGCCAGGTGTCTGGTAAAAGCAAATTGGCAGTTTTAGAAAACCTACTGTACACTGGGGATGTTTAAAGAGGTTTAACAGCTGTCTGCAGTTAATGTAGTCTACTGTTTTATATAAAACAATTTGTTTTTATTTAATTTTTTTTAAGTATTAAGTATTCAGTGTCTATTTTTTAACATTGTAGGTTTGCCATATTTTGAGCAAACAATGGCCAGTTGGGGTCGTGGCAAAATGTTAAGTAAAACTGAAATATAAACACAGCTGGCCCACAGATTTTTTTAATATGGCCCATTTAGTGGTTGAGTTTGACACCGCTGGTCTGATGTTTTTTTCACCTAAAATTGGTCCCAACCCTCGTAATTCAAAACATGATTGGTTGATTCCACTGTGACTTCCTAATTATGCAAATGGTTAATCTGAGGTGTTCGGCCATCAGTTCAGCACCTGAAGAAGAGAGCTTGCTTGGCTGTATGCACCAAGTAACCATGGAGAAAAAAATTCAGTATTGATACTGGAAAAAAAGTGGTGTTACTTAAATGACACTTTCTGCTGACTGAGTTTGAACAGAGCAGATTACCGAAGAGTAAGACTAGCAGGACTTTTTCAGCCCAGAACTAGACAGAATGACACAAAACAGTGAAGATATTCCTTCATTATGTTTCTCATCTACAAGGTTTAATCCAGCAGTAGACTTGTTAAGTAATTTAACATCATGAAAATGTTGACAGTATAGACAATGTAACCCCAAAGTGTTCAGCAACTACATTCTTATGGCTGCCAAGCCTGTAGGTATTTATTACAACCCTGTATAACCGGGGACATAGCCAAGGGGTGGCCAGGGGTCGCCAGTGCCACCCTCGTGTGAAGCGTGGTCACTCTTCTGGTCAACCCAGTGAAGCAAAGTGAGACAGTCACCAGTAAAGCAGTCACCGCTAAAAGGTTCTGCCACTTTGTGTGAACAGTTTCAAGGTGAAAATCTGCCACGAGGGCAGTCAGTTATGATCTAACAGTGTACTCAGTAATCAGTGGATATCACAGGCGAGTGAACACTGCTCAAAGTCTGAACATTATTCTTGTTCGTTTAGCTTAAGAAAGCACCGAACATTGGCTTTCTACACTAGTAAAATACTTAAAAGCATATAAGTAAATTTCTATGTCAGTTTATTACAGTACTTTTGGTTACCGGGTATGCTCTTTGAATTATCATTACTGTAAATAAAGATTTTAAATGAACATTCAGCAGAGATTAGATGTTCAGGCAAGATAACAGCATATTTTTCACAAGATGTAATAGAAAACAGGCTAGAATCACTTTCATTTTTTTCAGGGAAAAGTGAAACTGTGTTTATAAAATGTGGTTAACCAGTTAAATATGACCACAGCAATAATGTGCCCAGTACACCTCAGCAGTGCTGCTCTGTGAGCTACATTATACCCTATATGGAGTATTTATGCATTATATGGAGAAGGCAAGGTGATGATACGGTGAGGTAACTGTCAAAATTTAGTAACCACTAACATTTATGGTTGGTTAATGATTTATAATGCAAGCCAGATACTCTTTACAGCTGAGTCCATGTGTGTGCTTAATAATGGAGGCTATATCTCATCAGGGGTGAATCCAGTGCTGAGTATAAGTTCCTGCTAATGGTACAGTAGGTAAGCTTGATACCTAGGTTAGCATACTCAGGAGCTCCTGAGTTATCAAAGCAGGCTTGGCCACATGAAAACTGCTATAGAAACTGAATTTAAAGTACTGTCATAACTCAGTTGCTACTTTTTATTCATTTGAATTTGTCACAGCTGTATAGTGCTGTCCTTCCACTGGAAATGATGTAAACCATGGTAGCACTTTTACAATGCTAACAACCCTTAAAGCAATAGTTAGTAAAATGTAAATAATTTTCTCTTTTATGCCAAATGCATAGTTGGTTTTTGAAGTTGGCTTCTGTGTTGAAGCAACGAGGCTAAAGTAGCTAACAAGTAATGGAAGCTTCTACAGTACCAGTTAGCATTAAACTGTCAGCCCACACTACATCAAATTATTAAGAACTCAAATAATCAAATAGACTTGCTCATGTGGTTTCTGACATACAGTAATGTACAAAACTGACAAAAGAGCTAGTTGTGTCTGTATTCTTGGCCATTTTATATAGGTGCTATATAGACATACATGCTAACCGATGAAGTATAACCTTCCATTACTTATTATCTACATTTCCTAGTTAGCAAAACTAAAGAAACCGAGTGTCCTGGCTGATCAGCTATGTTTGGAGTGAGAGGGAAAATACTGCGAATTAAACTTTCAAAATCCTTATCTGGTTCTCTCAGCTTGACCAGGCCTCTAAGAAAGGGAATTCCACCAATTTTTCAACATTTCTGCATAATTAAATGGTTACGATGTAATAAAAGTCATTCAGAGTGGTTGGTGGTGGTTTGAAATGCTCAGTTCTAGAGAAACCCAGTCAGAACTGTTCACAGTGGTGGTGATGGGAACCAGACGTCCTCCTCTAAAAGCTCCTTCAAAGAAAATTCTTACATGAAATGGTTATAAATACACTGTCTGATGTCTGAGGCAATGTTTTACGGTAGTTTTGTGATTAATTTTTGGCCTAGAACGTCTTGTAATCAATTTATTTTAACGTATTCTTGGTGGAAGGACACGTGAAGGGTGTTCTAAGGCAAAATAGTTCCCGAAGAAAACTCCTTTTTTCAGATTTACCACTATTTTACCATCATCACTATCACATATAGAAACTCAAAAGACCCGTGTAGGGTCACTGGTGGTTTTGGACAGTAAATAAAATAGCTATATTTGCGTTGTAGACATCATGACCCCTGGTTCCTATCACCACCACTGTAAAGAAATCCGAGTCAGTAGGAGTCTCCACCAACGAATCATTTCACACTGGATGTGAGTTTCAGTGTGAAATGATTCATTATTCAGTATATTATGAATTATACAGATCGGTGGAAATCCCCTTTCAGACAATGCTCCCTGTTGACACTAGTATGTCTGATTGTACGTGAAGTTAAAACACCAGTATTGGGTTTAACGATTCAGGTGTAGACTACTGTACACATGTAAGGTGGTGAACTAAACGGAAAAAAAATATTATTTTTGTGTAATTTACGTATATATTACCTATGTGTAAAGTGTGTTGGTGTCGTTTAAACTGATCTGAGAGCAGCATTTGGCAGATAAACCGAGCACACATCAGCACCAGAGCACCTTCCACCAGAGCCATTCGAGTAAAGTAACAATATGGATCTGGCGCCCTCTGTTGGATCACTTCAGAACTGCACTGTGTACAGCAGATCGCCAGTGAGGCAAGGTGTGAGGAAGTATGGGATGTGTAGTTTAATCACACTGAAGGAGGAATTTGAGAAGCAGGTGTCCTGCGGTTTGTTTCTTGATGTAGACGTGGGGAATTTCTTCTATTGGTTGGTTAAATTCTCATGCTTGTTGCATGATTGAAGGGTTCTTTGCATTATGAAAGGGCTTTTCAGATTGATGAACAATGTGCTTTAGATGGTTCTATAAAGAACTTTTTGAAAAGGGTCCAAAAGGGTTCTTCTGTTGTTACGATGTCAAGCTTGTAACAATAGAAGAACCCTTTTCAAAGAGGTTCTATGTAGAACCATCTATAGTACATTCGTGCAAATTTTCCATCCCTTTCGTGATGCAAAGAACCCTTTAATCATGCAAAGCATTCTTTAAATGTTCATGATTCTATAAAGAACCATTTTCTTTACTAAAGAACCCTTGAAGCACCATATTTTTTAAGAGAGTACACCTATTTTAAGTCCGCTGGAACCAAGGATGAGAGAACCGACATAGAAGTGGTAATAAGAATACATTTCAGTGAATTTTGTGCTCCCCATACATTAATCTGATATATGGCAATTTATGGGTTTCAAATACATGATATATATTAGCATATATGGATTTCTCTTATATTCAACATATATTAGTCACATATGGACATGTATGTGACATATAGGCCAACTTTTGTCAAACTGTCCATTTTTAAAAATGGGACATATATTTCAGCCATATATAAAATGTATGTATAACACATATATTAAACAATATATGATAGAAAACATTCATAAAAGGCATATATTGTTCATATATGCTGGCATCATTTTATATAATGTAGGGTTTTATACATCTTATTTGTTTCTTCCACAAACACCCCAATGAAGTAAACATTAGTATACTAGCTACATAACTAAACTCTAAATACATGCACATTATAGGATATGCATTGAAACATGACATTAATGAAAATATTGTTCCTTGACACATATAAAAATCTAATATTTAAGAGGAAACAGTTAATATAGTAACAATTAGAACTATTACTCAACCATGTATCAGACATATGTGCATGATCCATACATTACGCATATACACTATATGGCCAAATGTATGTGGACACCCCTTGTAATTATTGAGTTCAGGTGTTTTAGTCCCACCCATTGCTAACAGGTGGATAAACTCAAGCACACAGACATGCAGTCTTGATAGACAAACACTGGCAGTAGAATGGGTTGTACTGAAAAGCTCAGTGACTTTAAACATGACACTGTCATAGGATGCCTCCTCTGCCACAAGTCAGTTTGTGAATATATGTCCTGCTAAATCTGCCCTGTCAACTGTAAGTGCTATTATTATGAAATGGAAACATCTAGGAGCAACAACAGCTCAGCCATGAAGCGATAGACCAGGCAAACTCACAGAGTGGAGACACCAAGTGCTGAAGTGTGTAGCGTCCATCCTCGGTTGCATCACTTACTACATAATTCCAAACTGGATTTGAGCTCGACCCATTAGTTCCAGTGGAGGATAATGGTAATACTACATCATACAAAGACATTTTAGACAATTTAATGACTCAAATCAATATGAAATCCATATGATAGCTCAACTGAGACGATAGAGACGATAGCTGGTCATCCTCTAGTCCTTCACCAGCGGTCACAGGACGCTGCCCACAGGACGCTGTTGGCTGGATATTTTTGGTTGGTGGACTATTCTCAGTCCAGCAGTGACACTGAGGTGTTTGCTGGAGGATGACCAACACAAACTGTGCAGCAGCAGATGAGCTATCGTCTCTGACTTTATATCTACAAGGTGGACCAACAAGGTAGGAGTGTCTAATAGAGTGGACAGTGAGTGGACACGGTGTTTAAAAACTCCAGCAGCACTGCTGTGTCTGATCCACTCAGACCAGCGCAACACACACTAGTAGATTTCAGTATTGATATTGGAAAGGACAATGTGATATGTGATATATATTGTGCCATCTCTAGTCATTTTCATGTGTGTCACTAAAACACATCTACTCTTTTACTTATGTCAACTTTTCTGAGATCTTTTTCTTGCAAATGAATTAAAGAGGAATTCCACACTTTTAGAAGTAAAGGTTCTGTGCAGGTACATTTTTTGTTCATCAGGGAACAAACAATGTAAATGTTCCCTCAAAGGTACAACAGTGGTTTTAAGGTCCAATTGTGGACCTTAAGTAAGTTTTTCACAGTGGAAAATATGTAAGTGTATCTTTTCATAACCTAATTTTTTAAAACAGGAAAAGTAAAATAAAAGCCTGGAGATGAGACGGGGTGTGTGGCATCAATACAGCTTAGAAAATATTATTTCAATGGATTATTATACAGTTATATTCCCTGACTAAAGGTACTGAGATGTTCCCTTGAGGGTACCACCCCAACGACAAGAGGGGTACTGCCCCAGAGACAGTTTACTACCTTTATTTCTGAGAGTGCACCAATTGTTCTACACTTCTGCATAGGTTAAGATGTAATATGTAAGATGTGAAATGCACCATCATAGACAAAACTTACCCAGTCAGAATTGTTCACAGTGGTGGTGTTTATTAGAGTCTATATTAAAAGCACAATAAGAAACATATTTTTACATTGCAATAGTTAAGGAATCTGCTCATCAGGACTGGAGAAACAGCCACGTAAGCTTAGAAGAGTTACGTCTCAGAATATCAAATGACTCCCCGATCAATACACACTCAGTCAAGCTGTTCTGTGTATTGTGTGGTGTATTGTTTCCCACCTCCAGTGCGGGGTGGGGGCGGAGGGGGTGTGTCTCAGTTAGACAAATTAAACTTAAACCCAAATAAGCTCTTTGCTTGCACAGCTGATTATAGACTTTATCCAAAACATCCTGTTTCTCAGGAAACTTTGTGTACAACACCAGACTTTTTACAACCTCTACGTTCTTAAAAAGCTGGTTCTTCAAGGGCACTTTAGTAAAGGCCATGTTCTATATAGAACCATTTTCAAAAAAGGTTTTATATAGAACCATACTCAACACAATCTCCATCAATCCGAAGAACCATTTTACCATGCAAAGAACCACGTAAGCATGCAAATCATTACGATGTCAAGCTTGTAACAGTAGAAGAATCCTTTTTGGTTCTATATAGAACCATATAGGTCTACAACACCTGAAGAAACATTTCACCATGCAACGAACCATTTAAGCACGAAATGGTTCTATATAGAACCACGAGTTCTATATAGAACCATTCTCTTAACTAAATAACACGACGAATTATATTTAACAGTGTAGAATTCTGTGATCTAGAACACAAGTACCTGCACTGTGCTTGTGCTCTAGAATGCTTTGCTACAGAATTCCACTTTCCAGAACAGAGAAATCTGCATTCTAGATCACAAGTGGCCCCCAGCTGCGTACTCGCGTTCTAAACCTCGGCTGGTGCGGAGATTTCTGCGCTCTAGAGTGGGAGTTCACTACGGCTGCGTCCCAATATGCGCTCTGTTGTGCGCAGCAGCTAAGCGCTCTTGATCATAAGTCCGAACGTCGGCTCTTCGGCTCCGCTCGGCTGTTTCCGCCTCCATCAGTATTCTCCCCGCGTCCGTTGTGAGCTGCTCGCGGACTGGAGCCGCAGAGGAGGTGCGCGAGCAGCCCGCATCACCGCGCGCCCTCTCTCCCCTCTTCGGCGCGAGCTAACCAACCGTCGCTGTCCTCGCGAGAGAGAAGGAGAGAAGGAGGGAGGAGAGAACAGCTTCAGCCGTCGTTTTCTTTACGTTTTGTTTTCTTCTTTCTTTGTTTTTCTTCTCGTTCTGTGCGCGTGCGATGAGTGGAGGCGGCGAGGCACTCGCTGTTCTGTGAGCGGTCGGTCGGTCGGTGGATGTGGAAAAACAGAAGATGATGAGTCTCTCCGGCTTCCTCCTGCCTGCTTTATGGGGACTGGCGCTCGGCGGATCACCCAGCGTCCAGATCGGTGAGAAACAGCCTGTTAGCTTATCTTCTGAAGAAAAGCCACAGATTCTCCTCCATTTTCAAGCGGCAGCCGTTCAAACGTGTTTCGACCGACGAAGCTCAGGTCGCCTTCTATTCGCCAGCTTCATGTTCGAATTGTGCCGTTCCACCTTAAATGGTGCAGCAGTTACGTTCTGGCGCCTCAGCAGCCTCAGGCGCCAGAACGTAACTGCTGCACCGTTTAAGGTGGAACGGGAAAATTTGACGGTTGGAAATGAAGACCAATGGCGCTGTGACTGTATGAGCCATCCTGATAGAAAGATTGCTTAAATTGCATTTATTTGATTCAAACTTGTAGCTGTTTCGGTTTAACACGAGTAAAGCACACATTTCAGTTTATTTCGGCAGTAATTGTGTCAGTGTGATGTGTTTTATTAATGTTGAACCGTTAGGCTTCACATTTGAATCCAATTCAAAGCATGGGGCTTTTTTCAGTGCAAGAGGACTGCGGTGTCGCTCAGAATGTCGAGTTGCGGGCTTTCTGATGTGCTAAAAGACTGAAAATGAATCTTTTCTTCTTCTTCTTGGTGTTTTTTCCCCCCAGGCGGCCTCTTCCCCCGGGGGGCGGACCAGGAGTACAGCGCCTTTCGGGTCGGGATGGTTCAGTTCGGCACGGCCGAGTTCCGCCTCACGCCGCACATCGACAACCTGGAGGTGGCCAACAGCTTCGCCATCACCAACTGCTGTGAGTCCTCACCGACTCCGGAGCTCCACTCAGCCTCTTTAACGGGTTTGGGCGGTTATTCGGTGAGGTGGACGGTGGTTTGTGTGTGTTTAAGTTTGTTTACCTCCTTCACGAGGACCAAACATGAAACAGGTTAGAAACGGACGTTGTTGACGTTGCGGGGACAGAAAGTAAACTAAGCCAAGAGATTTCCTTTTGGTTCCTCAGATTACGGTGCAGGCAGTGAACCCGGAGACGAGGAGGTCTCCCCACAAAGACAGGAATACAAACCCGCGTGTGTGTGTGTGACTGTGTGAATCAGAGCAGATTTGTTATTCATTCAAAATGGCGGCGCTGCCTCTGGAGGGTTTGTGCTCTTAAATATTTGAAGGACTCAGTTGGGGCGTTTTAGATGTGTTAGAGTGGAAGTATTGTTCGTCCTGGGTCCGACTTCACGAATCGGCGCTATCTGTGTTTTTAATGAGGGTGTTAGCCGCTAGACTTCACGAATCGCTCTTTTGAATCGATTCTTTTTCTTAGCGAATCGATTAGTGAGTAGAAGTGCGAATAGACCAGAAGTGTCAGACTCACTGAATCTCATTAAAGGTTTATGAGAGAACACCGTTTCTGTCATATCAACACCATTCTTTACTTTCCTGACTTACTTACTCTGAGGACAGCAGTTGCTCTAAACACAGGTCTGAACAGTTTATGACAGACAGTGGTCCGGAATTGCTTGGAATAAAATCATGTTATATTAACCTACATTAACGGCTAAGAACCTTTTTGTCCTTTTATAAAGTTGACATTTTGGAGATACACTATAATAGAGTTGATTTCACGTGTGACTCGTTCACGTGAATCGTTGAATCGGGCTGTTCATTAGAATCGGTTGGAGAAACTGAATCGGACTCATCATCACCAGAGGAGCTTGTTTTGGCCTTAGACCGGGTTCTAATGTGAACGTGGGGTCGCTAGAGAAATATGGTATCTAGAACTCTTGTTTATTTCTTCGTTTGTGGGTCAGCAGCGATATAAACTGGCGGTAATTTGCCCAAAGCGCCTCAAAGTTGGTTGCCACGGCAACGGCTGAGGAGCTAACGCCCCGCCCCTTTCCCCTTGTTTAGGCTCGGTGAGCGTTAAAAATGGGAGATGGTGTGATTTGAAAGTCGTCCGATGACGGAGGTTTAATAGGGTCTTCTCGTTGAGTGTCGGGGTTTATATCACGTATTTGTGCTGGAAATAAGCGCGGGCGCAGGCACGAGCCGAGAGGCGCGTTAAAAAAGGCACAGCTCCCTCCCTCCCCCCGCTCGCCCTTCACATCCACAGATAACCGTGAAGCACCGTGAACGGAGAACTGCTGCTGCTGCTGTCGAATAACAAACGTGAAGAGTGTTAACGGGAGCGGAGCTAAGCTCGAGACTCCGGAGGCTTCAGTCCTCAGCCTGTTTCTTCGCAACGAGGGGCATCAATGATTGATGCTGTGCAAACAGCCCCTTTCAGTGGTGCACATTGCAGGGCGCGTTGCATGAAGCATTTCATTCTGAAACGTGAAGTGCATGCTTCACACTTAAAAAAGAGGGTTCTTCAAGGGTTCTTTAGTAAAGGCAGTGGTTGTTTAGCGCGAGGAGTTCTATATAGAGTCATTTGCATGCTTAAATAGTCCTTTGCATGGAGTGATGGTTTTTCAGGTTGATGGACAATGTGTTGTATGTGGGTTAATATAGAACCTTTTTAGAAATGGTTCTTTATAGCACCAAGAAGTGCTACAATGTCAAGCTTGTGACCATAGACGAACCCGATTTGGTGCTACATAGAACCGTTTTCAAAAATACAACACATTTTCCGTCAGTCTGTAGAACCTTTTCACCTTGCGAAGAACCGTTTAAGCATGAAATGGTGCTATACAGAACTCATAGTTCTAAATAGACTGTTGCCTTTACTAAAGATCCCTTAATGAACCGTCTTAAGTGTGTAGACTGTGTGGTTTATTTTACCCGTCACTGTATAGCCTGATATGCACAGGACTGTATGCTAGCTCCTGTCCTAAAAGAAGGAGTAAAATGGCGTGGATGTGTAGCCAAGCCTGAGTAGCTTGTATGAATGTGTTTGAGCCCAGAATGAGAGGGGCGTCTGTGCTGGTGAATGAGTTGCAGCTCCGTGGGCGTGTGTATGTGGCACGCTGTTCAGAAACGGTGGGGCTGTTTTTAGAAGTGAAGGAGTTGCGGCTCCAGCATGCAAGCATCACTGCAACATGTCACTGCTGGGCCTGATTAATAAAATGGCACATGCTCATGTCCTCACACTTGCATGCATACACACACACACACACACACACACACACACAGGCTGTTGCAACTTAACACGCATATACAGGCAGGTACACGCACACATACATGCACAAGCACACACAATGCAAACACACACCCACATACACATGCACACTCTTCTGCACACCTACAGCTCCTTATCGTACACGCACCTGCAGGCACAAGCACACACACATACACACTCTCAAGCATCTTATCATGCACACACAGGCACGCGAACAGACATGCACAGGCATTAAGGGTCGACCCATGTGTGTTTTTGATTGATACCCTTTATCAGTAAACAAGAAGGCCGAAAAGCGATGCAAAACTAATATAAATGGAATATAATACTAACATTATTTATTAACAATCAACAATTATTTATTATTATAAAAAGTAAAGTGAATCAACACTGTGTGAATGTTTCAAAATCATAATGAAACAATGAAAGTTAAAAAGACAAAAATAACAATTTGTAAACAGCAACATTTAAAAAATTGATCTCTTTGTAGGTATAAATTACATAAATTACAAGTACTCCGAAATCAAGCACATAATCATAATCATTCAAGCTAAGAAGTGTTTGTCTCAGTATTTTTATTATTTTTATTAGTCATTTTTGGGTTTTTTTTGGTCTGTAACTTTAAAGACTGGTTTATTAGTTGTTCAGCTCATTTCCTGTCTGTGATGTTATTAGTTGTAGAACATGCATTACTTTTCACTCTAAATGTAATGAGTAAATATACCAACATATACAGGGATTAAAAGGCACAAATATCCAAAATTTGTGTTTTCTTCCATGTACAGCTTAAAGCTTCCACTCACCAAATAGCTTAAATGTGCTGTTTGACTACGGTGGACTTGTGCATCTCAACAACAACTCTAACACCAGCCGTCTTCCCAAGCTGTTGGATCGAGAGTGAATGAGTCAAATTATGTTACTGAGTGAGTTGTACTTTTTGGCAAACGACTGCAATGATCAACTTCAGCGTGTCTTTGCTTTGTTTCACAAACACACAACACAGACATGACTAACAAGAGAGTTTGATTCGTTTACTTGACGCATAGTCCAGCCTTCGACTTACCCAGTGACGCTGTGGTGGGACATTGAGACAGGCTACAGGCTACATATGTGTTGATTGATTGGACTAGACACATCATACTTATTTTGACTAATTCAGTAAGGCTGTGGGCAGGGGCATTGAGCCTGAAGTGTTTGTGTGAGTCTTGGTTGCTAGAGATGCACATTCATTTTGTTAAAGAATTTTTATTGATGAGGAAACAAGGTAAAATCACGATTCTAATAATGGGAAAAATGATAAATATCGTCTTCTATAGTTGATCAACCCCACAAGCATGAACACACATAAAAGCACATGTAAACAGAGACAAATGCAAGCACATCCATCATTTTGTAAGATACATATAATATGTGAACACGTGCACAGGCAAACCCATATATGCTTTATTTGCTAAGATATGTAAGGTACTTCACCATTGTTTGCAGTAGGGCGTATATTTATATTTCTGTACCTTTTCTTAAGGGGCCTACAACATCAAAAAAGACATTTTTGGTCTAGTATGTTAATGTTATTGAAGTTTTAAGTTTTAAAACACACCCTTATTCTTCAGTCCATGCAGTCTATATATGGAAACTAAGCTGTAAAAATGGCCTGTTTTAAGTTGATTATATTTGGGATGTCACAAAAACCGGCACATTTAAATATATACATCTATTCAGGCTTCAGCAGTTTAGCCCCATCTATGCAAGACAGGAATACATAAGACAGGGCAGCCAATCAAAACAGAGGTTATTTGCATATATATCAGTATTTTGTCTTTTTTGCCATTTCTCCCAATTTTCACCCCAATTTTGTCTTGTCAAATTCTGCCCATTGTCTCCCACAATCACACCATACTAACATTGGTAGGATGAAGACAAGCACGAGCTTTCTCTGAGTCACGTGAACCCAGCCACCACATCTTTTCAAACTGCCACTAACATAACATCACTGAACAGCTAAACCTGCTTGGAGAAGAACATTAAACACCAACCCTGTTACTGTTAACAGACGCCCGTGAACAACTCAGCGGTTTAAGGACGTCATGAATCTGATGTAGACTTTATAAGGATTTTTCTAAAGAACAAATGTAAGAAAAAAAACTTGGCCCACTCCGCCTAATTCTGCGGGATTTGGAGAATTCACACAGATGATATATGTGTGCAAAAATATAAAATACAAGAAAAATGTAGGATATGGGCCCTTTAAGGAAAAGTCCCAACAGTGTTTCCCACAGGTCTGAAATAAATCCTGGGGGAACATGAAGAGGATTTTAATGTATACAGACACCCAAATTAATCTCAGTATTCCTTTTACTTAATTGAGTTTGCAAATAAGGCATGTATGATTTAACAACTGATATTGCGTCCTCTGTTACACAAAGTATGCCCTTTTTATTCGTAATAACAAAATATGAAAGCTGTTAAAATGGAACAAATTATACATGGGGGGGCTGTCAAAACACTTTGGGGGCGCACGTTTGGGAAACACTGCAGAAAGTGACTTTGGCTGTAGGTCGGGTGTCCAATCATATCCACAGAGGGCCGGTGTGGCTGCAGGTTTTCACTCGAAACAAGCTGAAGCACACCTGATTCTGCTTGTTTAATCAGCTGGTCTTAGTCTTTAAACATTTCATCAGGTGACCTCC